CCTGTGAGGCTCGAAGGACAAGAAGGATATTACGGTCTACCAAGTCCAATAAGATCATTAATTATTTTGCTGACTGGTAAGCACTGGTTCTCTGAGTTGATTGAAAAATTATGGGCTAAATGATACACTTTTCAGCACCTCCTGTGTTATAAGAGTCCATTAACAACACGCTGGGTGGATCACTGGTCCTCGGTGGACGCTCTGCCCCCTATTCCTCCATGCCATCTCTGAACATCTTTCCTTTGGCCGTTCTAGGGGCTCAGCCCTCAGGATTTGTCTGTATTTCCAGGCTCTGGACAAATCTCTCCCTAATCTTCAGTCTGGCTCCTACCTCTTGGTCTGATATTCATTTCAGACTGCCTCAAAGAAATCCACCAGCCCAGGCCCCAGAAGACCTTTTCCTGGGAACTCTGTGCACACCCCAGAAGGGGAAGGTCTGTCTCTCTGAGCTCCACATTCCTCTCCCTAGCTCTGTTCCCAAAACAACTGTTCTAGACACACGTAGATTGCCACAGGGAATTAGTGTAACCGAAAGTTCGGTCTGTGAACCCAATGCCAATCCGAATAACGAGAACAGAGTCTTGAGTGGAAGAGGAAAGGTTTTTACTATGCCAGGCACAGGGAGCAAAGCAAGGGCTCATGCCTCAAAAATTGCTAGCTCCCCGATGAGGAATGGGTAGGGATTTTTATTTGGGGTTTTGGGTAGGGGAGGGGGCACATGAAGCTTGTGCAGCTTGGTGCTTTCCCACCAGCCTGCTTTTGGCCTTGAAAGGCTGCTTGCAGCAAGGCAGGGGGGAGGGTGAGATAGGAGGATGGCAGGTGGGCGTCCTTCGCCGTTGTCTCCTCTTCTTGTTTGAGGTGGGTTGGAGCACCGGGAGTCGAGGAGTTGAGGTCTGGGAAGCCTCCGCTCCTTGAGACTCTTGAGACAGAGGCTTTCCTGGCAAACTCAAGGACACATGATGAGCTAAACTTTAGCGTGCCTCCAACTCCAGGCCACCTGGGCTTTTAACAATTTGTAACTCCCATCTAGTTGTAAAGCTCAAAGAGTCCAAGTTTAAAGAAACAGGTATTTACATATGAGTGGAGCTAGAGAAGCAGGAAAGGGGGTGGTGGGTTTTAGTTTTAACCCCATATACACTGGGTTCAATGTGGGGAACTGATATCAGGGCTGATGTTAAGAGCCTGTAACATTAGCAGAGAGGAGATCTTGTTTTCCCTTCTCCTGCAGTGCAGGTACTAACAACCAGAACCCTGAGATGGCCGATTGCTCTAGAATAGCCCATAGTGGGGGCTCGAACACTTACAACTTGGCAAGAAGTCCCCAATGCAACCTCAAGGCATTGTTTCAGGAAAGAGTAAGAAATAACTAGAGGAGAAAGGATGTCTGAATAATCATATGGATTCTTCCGGGAAGAACTCGGGCCCACAAAGGCTCTTTTCCTTTCTTTAAATCAGATAAGAGGACCTCCTCCCACCACAGCAGCAGGCACAGTGCAAGTGGGAAGCAAGTGAGGTCCCCATTGCACTGACTCATGAAGCGCTAAGAGCAAGAGCAATTCAGTCAGGGAACTGCACAGTGAAGGCTGAGGGTTTCTGTTCCTGGGATCGTGCTTAGGACACATGCTGACCGAAAGGCTGAGAATGTTCTGGAACCAGACTGTCAGTTCTGACACGACTGGCACATATCAGCTTGGGAAGCAGGAGCAGATAACACAGGCAGAAGAAGAATAATGCAGAAGGATGATCAAATAAGCTGAGGACCAGGGCACAACCAGAACATAGCTGTTGCCTGAACTTCTCCTGGCTGAGAGGAAACTAATTCGCAAAGGAGGAGGAGTGGTGAGACCAACACTGCAGTGGTTTGGCAGCAGGGCCTCAAATGAATTCCAAGTCACCTGGTATAGGCTCAAGCACGGGCTTTATTGTGGGAAGGAGGAGCTTATAAAGGTAGGTTCATGGAGAGGAGGTTGAGGCTGCTCTGTGCTCCCCTGGCTCCCATGGTGCTGAGCAAGGCACTCTGCCTGTGGGGGTGTGTTCCACAGGACAGTGCTGGCCGCTCTTGTCAGGCAGACAAGCAGCCTTGCCAGAGGAGGCCACACAAACCGCGTGGACCAGCAGTGTGGATTTGGGGGCAGCTGCTGGAGCAGTTGCCTGATGATGTGGCTCCAAGAACCTGGAAATCTTAGGCCCCGCGGGAAGCTGAAGCCCTCTATCCTCGTCCTAGTGAGCTCATTGCCTGAGCAATCAGAGTGAGCCCCAGGGTCACTTTCTGACCTTCCCTGTCCCTTGTATCATGGTAAATCAGGGTAGCCACTTACAAGGATGGCAGATGCCAGGCAGGTGACATGATGAAGGACCCAGGTGGGAGAGTATGAGTCCCAGCCGGAGGGCACAGCCACCACTGGGATCTGCATGATTTTTTCATGCGGGAGCGTGGGCCCACTGTTGTCAGGAGTCTGGGTTTTGTAAAAGAAATCTGGCTTCTTGATTTTAAAAAAACTCCTGATTTTGTATGTTGTTAACTGACTCACTTTTTGAACACTTGTGTGAGCCTAATAAAATCATTCATGAGCTGCATGTGGCCTGTGGTTGTCAGTTTTAGCCTGTCCTATAAATTATGCTTTGCAATGTGTTTTAACTCAACAAAGGTTTTGCTCATTATTCATTTTTGCAAATCGCATTTTTTTTTTTTTTTTTTTT